CCCTCATTCTGCTGCATCCACTCCTGCTGGGCCCCTTTTTGAAAAGAAAGCAAATAAGATATTGCAAGCTTGAACCTCAGTGCCCCTCCATAGAGTCTAGTTTGGCACTAGCATCCTCAGATTACTTGAAAGGGTGTTCCATCAGATTCATCTAAATCTATATCCATGCAAGGTAGGTAGAAAGAGAAAATTAATATACATTAAGGTCATCCACTGGAATTCTAACCACTCCACAATTTACATGGACATAAATATCTAGGTGGGGGAATTACATGAGATCTTTCACCAGGAAACCAATTACAGAAGGAACCAGGTATATCATCTAAAGGTATATGGATTGTAACTTGCAGTGGATATAGGCTGCCCTTGTCTCTTGTTGGAAGTGCAAAATGTTGAATAGCCACAGGGGAGAGTACCATTGCACTTCCATAATGCTAAAAGGAATTTTACCAGAATTTCAGCAGGGTGCCAGGTCAGCCTAAATGGACTGGAAGATTATAAGTATTATAAGGATGGATGGAGTAAAACTGTTGGCCCGTCTTATTTGCAGCATTCTTCCCAGTTTTGTGCTCTTGGTTCCTTTTTCTTGAGATGATAGAGCATTGCTACTGGACCTGGGTTCTTAGACACAAGAAGCACGTTCATCACCTGTAAACTAGGGATTATAGGTTTGTTGAGTCTGCTCCATTACACTTTTATAGATTACCAGGTGTCTCTCCTTCCATTCTCTTCTTATTAACAGATTTTTTTTCTCCTGAGGGATGAGGAGAACTTTGTTTCACTTGTATTAATCTGTGCTAGCAAGAACCCACATTGGTGCCAATGCACCATTACACTAATGTGCATTAGTGCATTGGTGAATTTGTGCAAATCCCCTCAATAGTTGCTCCCCTGAAAAAACAAAAAAGCCAGTCTTTTAAGTCCATGGAATCTGCACAACTTGAGAAAAGCTCATTCGCTGTGGAATCTACAGGTCAGATAGCTAAAAATCTGAATCATTTTACTCTGAAGATGAATTCTCCAGCATCTCCAACACTGTGGGTTTGCATCATACAACATTCCCCTCTGATTCATGAATGGAACGCAGAGTTTTCTCAGTAAATAAGCCAATGTAGAAAGGGCTCCTTCCAGCTGGAACACTTGTGAAAGCACAGTTCTGGACAGTGTCCATACCCTCCTTCTCATCCATACCAAACGCGTTTGCATTAATGAATCGGGCGTAAGAGAAATGTGCTGTAATCTTTCTTTCCTTTTTAACAGCCTATCTGAGAATGTGGAGCTGAACACGCCTAGTACAGTATGGCTACCATGCATGCATTAAAAAATGTACAAAGATTCATGCAACATCAACTATACAAGCAGTTTTACATCCGACATGGTCACTGAATTCTACCTATAGTTCAAGAATTTTTACCTGAAGAATTGCTTCTAAAACCTGGGAGTCTGGTCTTTTACCCTGTTTTGCTTCTGCAGGTTTTGAATGGCTTTTCTTTTCCTTGTGAGGAAAAAAGAACCTTCTCTTCCCATTTACTGGGCCCCCATATATTTCCGTTTGCAAGGCCTTTTCATTTCCCCTTGCTGATGCAAGGGTGGCAATGCAAATTCTTGAAAGAGCCTCATCTTGCCGTCCCCCTGTTCAAAGTGATGCACGCATTGGTACACAACATGGGTATGCAAGGGGATGCTTAGTGGATCAGGCTCTCAGACATGCCATTGTTAAGTGCAATTGAAGATAAATGCCTATAACTGTATTTTCATAAGAGAACATATTGTTGCTGATAGGAGGAATGGGGGTCTACTCTACGTAAACAGCAATCTACTTAAGTACAGAAGAGACTCTGCTAGATAAGACCCAAAGTCCATCCAGTCCAACATCCTCTCTGCTAACAGGGACCAGCTTCTGAAAAGCTGATGAAAAGGGATGAAGGCAAGAGAACTCTTGGTACCGGCATTTGGCATTCAGAGGAGTGCAGCCTCTGAAGTCCCATTCAGCTATTGTGGCAAAGAGCAAACTATTCAGTTTTGTCTCCAATGAAATGGATGAAGAGTGGAGAACAAAGTGTAACATTCAAAAGACTCGACAGTACTGCTGCCAATAACAGACTCAATTCCAAGGCCTTGTGCAAGAACAGGAATCATATGGAGCGTGCCCAAGTGCATGAAGGATCTGTTTCCAGAAAGAAAAAGGAGCATTGGTGTGTTCCACGTGCTTCATCTTGATGCAGGTTCTTGCCTTCTTGCTCATGGAACTAGTAAAGACTGGGATGAAGGTGGCAAGACCTTCACATCCCGGATGGAGCATCATTCACATTATTCCTCCATACTGCTAAGAAGTGGGGTTACCGAGGAGTCCTGTCATCTCTAATAACAGCAAAGAGGGACTCAGTTCCACTTCCTTCTAGTACAGGGTCTCTGGGCCACACTCTGAGGACAGGCTGGGAACAGCCCTTCAAGACAGAGAGAAGAGAGAAGAGAAGTTGAAAGCCGGAGTAAAGTTACAAAGTTGCAAACACAGCACACCTCCAGGGTGATTGCAGGTGTTGGCCTAGGCAGGTCACAATCTATGCTACGTTCAGCCTTGCATGGGTGCAGTGAGCCTGTTGTCAGGTCTGGGAGGGAAAGATCAGTGAGTTCAAAGGTTTTTACTCCTGGAACGGGGAAAGCTCGCAGTGCACGTGGATCTGCTTTACCAAGAGTGCCCTCTAGGGCAGCTCCAGGAAGCGGTGGCTGGCATCGACAAACGAAGCACCAATGTCTTCACCAACACCAGGCCCTAGGAGGTGATAGATCACACCTTTCCTCCAGATGATCCAAAAGTAGTTTCAGCATCTACAACATTACTCACTTGCCAACCCCCATCCCTCCCCATGAGGTAGCGAAGTATTACTGTCCCTATTTGACAGATCAGGTAAATTGAGGCACCAAGAAATTAAGAGACCTGCTCCAATTCATGCACCTGATCTGTCAGATTTCAAACACACAATGGGAAATTCTTCCGTAGGTCTTCCCTGTGCTTTGTCCTCAAGGCCAGCCTTCCCCACGGTAATCTGACCATGAATATCCATGAATGATGACTGTTCTGAACCAAAGGTAAGATCTATCGGACCAAGCAATGGCCCAGCAGTTTGGGAAATCTAGTGGTTTGGGAATTCTGTTCGGGTCGGACAGATGGTAGAAGAGTGATTGCCCTTGTGATGCAAGGCCCTTATCCTCGACAAAACAGTCAAACATGAACATTGCAAGCCTGGCTTATTCACACCATCGTCATGTGAATTCAAAAGATGGTCGTGGCAAAAAATAAAATGAAAATGAAAAAGCTAACCACCAGTCATTATATAGCTTTTTGAGAAACAGGCAAGCTTCATTTTCCTCTCAGTAGCCCAGTGATAGCATCATTACTCGTGAATCATCATTAATTTCTCCTCGGGATGCCTTTCTACTGGATGCAAACCATCCAAGGCGGCTCATAAAATGAAAACAAAAAGGGGAAAAAAAAGTTGAAATACATTCTAAACTCACAATGGTTGCAAGGAAATCTAAAGCAAAGTCAAAAAGCAACCCAAAAAGTTTGCTTTCATGGGTATTGCTTTGAGAACATCTTGAAGAAGTACAGTAAACTTATTCCAACATAGAAGGAAAAAGGCAATATGTACCATCTGGTGACCATATGTAGGGCCAGGGAAAATGGCCAACTCTGTATAAAATTGTGAACTTTGCATTAATCACTATGAAAAGTGGGAAAAAACCTTCATTTTTCATTCCATTAGAATGTGTCACCTTCAGATAAAAGTCACTGAAAACTGTTTCTAACACACTAAGAGTTTTATAGTCTTGAACTGGCCTCAGTTAGGATTATTAAAATATAGAAAATGAAAAATGGAAGTTTAACATCTTACAAACACTCTAAAAAATATTAACCATACTGATTTGATTGCAATATCTATCTCCACCCACCCCCATGCAGCCCCTCTGTTTTTTAGATCTCATGTCAGTTTGGCAGTGATTCCTAAACACATCTTGTACTGAACTTTTTTGTATATTTTTAATTTGTTTTTTAAGCAAAAGAAAGTCACTAGTTCAAAAAAGAGCTTGACGTACTGACTCCCTAAAATGCAGCTAAAATTGTTTTCTTCTATAAAAGTGTACTGATTTCTTGTTATTATCAATAATAATAACAACATGGAGGTGTTAAAGACCTGAAAACAAAATTTTCACAGTGTTTTCAGTGTTGCTGTTTACAAGGCATTAATAGTCTCCACAGAGATAGAGAGATACCATTCAGTAGTTCGAGTAACTTCATATCAACCAGACCATTTTTATTGCCAGTCATTTACAGACTTAAAATCCCATTTATTAACATATACTCCAGTGCCCAATTTGAGAGTGACATGACAAAATGTGGCTCTTTATTTCTTTACGCCATCTGATCCCCCTGTGTTGATGTTTTATGTTATTGAAGAAATGATTATATTTCCCACTGGCCAAGAGTACACGAAGGTCAAACATTATGCAGATGTTAAACTCAGAGATACAATAGTAGAAACAGACCTGCTTTCGCAGAGTTGCTGGTGTCCGTTTGATATTTGGAAAAAGATGCTGGTAGGCCAACCTGTTCCCCTCTTGGCCACTGGAGAAATTTGCTAATGGAATACTGACCAAAGGAAAATGGCCATCTTTCATGCAGCGAAGCATAAAATCAACACATCCGAGTGAAATAAGATACAATTGAGCGGTGCAGGAAGGGCATGTGACCCTGACGTCAAATGTTTAGCTTCCCTATGAAGTTACTCATAGGGTTGGTATCCCTTTATCTCTGTTGGGTGACAAGTGTGGGTTTTGTGGCACAGAGGAGAAATCATAGGAGAGAATGGGGAAAAGACATAACTTTGCGTGTCCTTCAACTGATCTGCAAGCACCGGTGATCTCTGCTCCTTTCAGCAGAAGCACTGCACTGCATCTGAAACAGTGTGTGTACGGTGGACACAGGGAACCGGGTTTCTTTACATTGAATCGCCAAGGGAATCCGAGTCATCCAAGGACAGGGGCAGGTACAAGTCCTGTAAGAAGAAAGGGGAAAGTGTTAACTCCCACGATTTGCAAGCTTGGTATCAATGAGGAATTACTCAAGTGACTCGCGGAAGGCAAGTCTTCTGTTGGGATCACAGAGGCACGGAAGAAGCACATGGCCCTGAAGCAACGGGACTTCATTGCCATAGAAATACAGGATGTTGCTCTCTGCCTGTCTGAGTCCTGATGGATTCCCCATGCACATTTTTTTAAAGCCCGGCTGTCCGTGTTGGTGAGCCATTTTCCTACAAGAACCATCTGTCACTGCAAATGAGAACAGCATCATCGACCCAGGGATGCAAATGAAGGATGCCTCTATTTGTATGTAAGGAGACTTCTTCCTGGCATAGAGGGTGCATGGAAAATTAGGGGATGTTTGCAGCAAACCCCAAGAGCCCTTGCAGGCAAACCGTGCCCAGAAAGCTACTATGGATAATGTAATTGCATAGCATGTTATCACTTGCAGAAGGAAGCATTCCTCTTGACATTAATTTTCCTTGTAGGGGCACATAAAACTGGTAGCTTGGAGCTGCGGATGTTCGCTAGTTTTTCACTGCTTGATGGAGCACAGTTTCCTGCATCTTAGACTCTTCAAAGATTTACTGGAAGAGGACACATGCTCCCCTCTGCTAGTGTCCTTGCAGATCCTGCTTCAATAAAATGTTAAGCAATGATGTTGCCCAGCTTCAAGATATGGATTTGGATGGCACGTGTTGCTTGATTCACAAGAAGCTGGTTTCAGGTCTGCAAAAGGTCTTCTCCTTCTTAGAGTTTGTGTCAGACATGGGTCTGCCAACTAGTAAGCCTCAGAAGTACTTTTTGAATCACAAACAAAATCATGGAACCACCTGCTAGAAACTGAATGATCAGGAGGTTTGACTATGCCTTCTTTTCCAAACTCCAGTATACTGACCTTCAAAAACAATTATTGAGATATTTCTGTCCCACTTGTTCCTCCAAGGAACCCAAGGTGAATTAGATGGTCCCCCTCATCTCCACTGTATCCTTACAAGAACCCTGTGGGGTAGGTTAGGCTGAGGATCCATGGGTGGCCCAAAGCCACTTGTGAGATTCGGAGCCGAGTGGGGACTAGAACTCAGATGCCCCCCAGTTCCAGCCCAGCACCCAGCAACTGCATTACAGAGACCTTCCTCTGAAAATGTAGGCTGAAAGGGGCTGGTGCGACACCGAGGTGCTGGCTGCATGAATGCAGATGAAAGCGGGTGGATTAATAGCTTTAAGATTAAAAAAAAAAACCTTACTGCTTCCTTTGTCAGTGAAAACTGACAAATACTCTGGTATTATGTTTCTGACTACATCTCTGACTACATTTCTACCATTGTTAGAGATGGAAGCTGCTCAAAAGAACCCGGGTCCTTGCAGTGATTTTCATTCTTTAAGCTCCTTGTGCGGAGCAGCATCTGCTGAAGAAGCCCTGTCGCCCCTGAACTGACGCCCGTGTTATTGATCACAGAGGCTGTTGTGTTGAAGATCGGCAGGAATTCACTTAGTTGAATCTCATTAGGAAGATGCAACACAGGAAATGAATTGGGTGGGAGGAGGGGAGATGGGGGAAGCACACTGCAGATTTGAACATCATTGTGCTGAACAGTTCCAGCCATGAAAATCCTGCAGATGATTAAGGGCTAGTTTATACAATATTGTTTATGTCCGAACAAACATCTGTGGATACTCCTCATGGAGAGATAAAATATGGGGGCCAGCCAATGGGAGAGAGGCGTCAGGAAATGGCAACAAATCAGGTCAGGCCTCATTCGTGGGCTCGAATCATTCTAGGAGGACCGCAAAATATGTTTGTTGGAAACTACCAGTTGGGTGGCCGGAAGACCATTTAGAATTTAATTCACTCGCCCTGGAAGGGGTTCTTCCGGAAGCAGGTGTGTGTGTGTGTGTCCCTGCACATCTCAAACTAACGAATATAATTTGCCACCATGCATAATTGGCAGCCATTCTCATGACTGGACGCTTAGAAAAAGGCATCCCCCTAGGCCGTGTTCTCTAGTGTAAAACAGCTGTGGAACCTGGGACCAATGACATCCCAAAGCTCTGTTCTTAGCCAGCACTGCTCGTTCATTCCTGTTTTGGCAAGGCAAGGTGCTTTCTTCCCTGAGCTCTCGCATGTCAAGCAAAGGGAGGTCTCTAAAGGGGCAGGGCCAAGTGAAGGTACAGTTCACATGTAGTGACTCTTCCTTCTGGCAGGCTGCTTGGGGCAGGGAATAAGCAGCCAGGTGCTTTAGGAAGGTATAAGAAACGTAATACCTTGTGCTTGCGGAGGCTCCCTGGGCTGGTGGGTGTTGAGATCGGAGACTGCTTTGATTTGGGTGTTGACAGCTGGCTGCTTGATGTCCCATTTGCTGCCACAAAGCGAGAGAAGAAACAGTACTGAGAAAGAGTGAGCAAGGCATGCATTCCTTTATACTTTTAAAAAGCCTTCAGTTTATGAAAGCCATCATTCACAAAACAGAAACATAAGTCACAAACTGCAGGTTTCATAGGCCTTCCTTTTCCAATATGGTATTAGCTGGATATCAGGCTGCCTGCAGCTGAATGGGCTGCGAATGGCATGGGTGCAAATTGGGGGTACGACGATAGACTGATCACAGAGACGGAGAGGAGCAAGCTAGTTCCTCTTTCCTCCTTTTTTCCCTGCAATGATCAGTGAGGGAAGCGCACCATCGCATGATCCCACATCTTTCCTGCTTCCCAAACAGAACTTACCTGGCTGCCAAGACTGGGAGCGGCGGCAGGAAAAAGTGTGACCTACTGAGGCCAAGGACCAGTCGCTTTGCGTCTCTTGGGTCCATTTTTTCAAAAGTGCGCATTGACTGTGCACAGTTTCTGAAATATGCTCATCTTCCTTCCATCAACTAAAGCATGTTCGCACTCATTTTTACACATGCACAGTTGGCCACATGCATTCTTTTTAAATGCATCTAATTTTCACACATTTCGTTGCACAAATCAGGGGCCAAGGCTGTATCTGGATTGCATCTGGGTTTGCATTTGACTGGGGAGGCATGAATTGGATAATGAAGTAGGAGGAGACCAAGGTGGTGTACTCAATCCTTAGGACAACCCTGTAAGGTTAAGTTAAGTTGAGCTTTAGGGACTGGTCCGAAGCCACCCAGTAATTTTCACGACCAAGTATGAACACTGGCCTCCCCAGTCCCAGTCCAACTGCGTGATGCTGGTTCTTTGTGCATTAATTTAGCTGCACAGTTTTATCTAAGATATACATCGTTGCATGTATTTTCCCAACACAATGCATTTTCAGTGTCAATTTCTCCAATATTCACCTTTTGGTGTGCCCATTTTAATTGGATAGCTCCACTGCAAAACTCATTGAAGTATACATTTTAAACAATGACTGTGCACTGATTTGCATATTATTTTAAAAGTAAGTTCACAGTAAAATGCAAACTGGATGTTTTTTCTCCCATCGCTACATGCTAGAGCATGAAACCATGATGCAGGATTTCCTCGTATGAGCTGTTCCTTTGTCAGATTCAATGGCAATAAGAAACTTTGGGAATCCTTGCTAAGTCAGGTCACAATGACATTCCTTGGGCATTCTGCTTGATCTTGTAGCTTCATGGAAAAGCTTTGGTTTCTCAGATAGCCCATTTAAGCAGCCAGGAATGGCAGAACCCATCCAGGCTCTTACTGATGGACCATTCCTTCTTCAGTCAGGTGCAACCTGCTAGACACTAGCTTGAGAAGGTTATGTTTTAATGTAAAATCAATATCCTATGGCTCTCCCCTCAATAGCTACAGCAAAGGGCATGGGAATGTTAATTGGTCTTAAAGCTACATGGGTTCCTCCCTGCATCAACCAACAAAGAAAGCTTGCTCCAGGCAGGAAACGGAGGGCGCATGGCTGAGCAGCAACGGTCAGTTCCCTGTGAATGCTCCAAGATGGCGCTGCTGTGAGGTCAGTTTACAAGACAAGGCTTCTCAGGATTCCTTTGAAACATAGGGCAATGCAGAGTGGTGGGATGGAATTTAGAATATGTACCCAAAATATTTAGGCCATGGAAACACTCCTCTTTTAAGCTTCTTTTCACTGGAAGCTTTTAGGCTGGAGTTGGATGCTTAGGAAACAGCCGTCCTTCAGATGGGGTTGGTGTGCAGCTTCCATCAGTCCAGCCACATCTGGTCTGTCAGATCCCAGCCCCCTGCATTGGCAAGAGGTTGGACTGGGTGGCCCTGAGGGTCCCTTCCATGCCTCTGGTTCTCCAAAGATGGAGAACCATTTGCTTTCCTGAAGCCTACAAATATCATTCTTTCCGCCATTGTTGTTCAGTCGCAAAGTCATCCTTGACTCTTCATGACCCCATGGGCAACATTCCTGCAGGTTCATTCAGCTACAAGGTACCTTAAAATCATTTTTCTTAATTCTAGCAGTAAGTTTAAATCAATACTTCCTGAAAGTAGCTCTCTTTTCTCTACCATCCCTAAATCAGATTGGATCTAACAGCATTATTGGCAGTGGCTATTCCAGACCTGCTTATACATTAAATTTATTGGTAAGAAATCATTTTCCTAACATGGTTATTTTTGTTACAAGCATCACCCCATCCCAACCACTCCTCTCCATATTTCACTCGATCACATATTACATTGATTTTGATGGTGTTCATTGCAACTTTGAGGATGTTTCGCTTACTGCATTGACCATGGAAAAATTTGCTTCTCCAAAAAATAGCTGTTACACTTGTAATGGGGAGAAGATTGGCTGCCAACACTCAATGCAATTAGCATTCTGTGCATGCCTTCCTTTTTGCACTGTTTTCTACAATGAAGAATACCTAATTAAAGTACGCCATTATGGCTAATTTTTTGCAGGGCGAGTGGGGGGAGCTTTGATCATATCTGCATATGATTTCAGATTGGTGCATGAAATAATAGGAGAATGATTAGGGCATTATGATTCAAATAGAATGTGGAAGTGGGAATAATTGCATGGCTTGGAGGCAGCCTTATGCAATCTGCTTTTAAATATTTTACTAGCTGCAAGCGCCTCTGTTATTAAATAGAACATTTCCCCCTTTCTGGACATATCCATAGTATAGCTGATCACTTAGGAATGCTCTGGGCCAAGTAACATTCAACACCCATCCATATCTATAGCTATTCACAGACACACACAATGGAAATCTGAAATTTCATTCATGTTCTTTATTACATACCTATACAGCACAATTGCCAAAGCTCTCTGGGTGGTTTACACGGTTTTAAACGAATAATGCAAGATTTTGCGTCAGAGTCAGTCTGGCGTGGTAGTTAGAAGGTTAGACTGGGACTCAACAAATCTGGGTACTCTTCCCAGCTTTGCCCTAAAGCTCACTGGATGTGCCACAGGACAGATGTTGGCCACTGGTAAAGCTGAGTTTTAGGCAAAGACGTCCAGATTACTGACTAAAAGATACAGCATGCAGTTCCCTTCCAGGGAAGTGGGTAAGCGTTACACAAAACACGGGGCCAGATCATATTTTATTCATCATGTCCTTATTCAGCATCTCTTTTTCCCTTCTCATCTTGCTCCTACCATTTGCCAAGGTCTTACTTTGCATTTTTGCAAGACATGTAGCAAAAATGTCTTTTTCTTATGAGCTGGCAAATGGCCAAGGAACACTGATTCTGTGCATGTTTTGGGGGTGAAGCTTGAAGACTGTGGGAGAAATTGAAATGCTCAGTACATCTTAATGTATTCAGTCACTTGGTTCAGATGACACAATAACTCACACTCAATAAGCCATCATTGAACCATGTTTGTTGCTGAAACATGGGCTATTGTGTGGTTTGAACCCAGCTGCATGGCTAAGGATGAGCAACCCATGGATACTTCTTAGGTTGTGAACTAAGAAGTAACATCCTTGTTTGTTACCTTGCCTGGGTTCAGGCAACATGGTAACCCACATTTCAGCAACATCCCACAACCCAGTTACTGGGTTCAGACAGCACAATCCCTCCTCTTTAAGGGCTGAGTGGGTTGAGTGTGGATCACCCTGGAAGCTGGGGGAAGGGACAGGTGTGTCTTGACCTACTGGTTGCTCAGTCATCTCTCAGATCCCCGGGGGGTGGTATTTATCTGTTGGGAAAAGAGTGGTCACTCACCATCCTGAGGGTTACCTGAATCAGCGGGGGATTTGCTCCGGCGCACAGGAGCTGGGCTCTTCGCTGAGCTCTTCTGTGGAGTTGGGGATGACTTGCTACCTGGGGTTGTTGGAGGGTTCCCTTTCATGACCCGGCACTCTGGGAAACAAAGCCAAATCCACATCAAATGCTTGCTTTGCTCTTAGGCTCTTTGCCGATGTGAAAGATGCTGCTGCGATTTCAACCATTGCTTCAGAAAAGCACTTTGAGGAACAGCCATAGCTCAGTGAAAACTCTAGACAGGGCTCGTATTTTTTAAATCACAAAACTGAAATTTGTATTTAAATAAATGTTATTTTTTATTAATACAGACTTATATTTTAAAGGAACCCAAAATGCATTTGAAGTGTATGGATTTTGAAGCCAATGGATCACTTATTTCCAATCTGCATATCCATTTGGGAGGAGCAGATTAGATCAGTTTGTGTTAGAACTTACAAAGTCTGAAATCCTTAACCATCCCTATTAGAAAGGACACATCGGAACCCATACAGAATCCCCAGAGGCCTAAAAATCATGCTTTGAACCATTATTTTGAACATAGTTGGATGGAACCTGCATCACATGGATTTAAATTTTGGGGATCCTGGCAAGGTGGAAAATGGCCATTGTAAAAGGACAGTTAGGGAGCTACAACTGATAAATGGAGCTAGTGGAGGGGGAGGGAGGAGGTTTGCTGGCTGGTGTTTCAGAAGGACCAAGAGAAAGCTGAGAAGCAAGTGAAAGCTGAAATACTGAGTTACACTGGGATAGAACAGTAGTAGTGCAGTTGGAAGGCGGCTTTGAGGCCTTGCTGCCACGTGTGGTCACCCATCCAGCTGCAGACCAGTGCCTTTCCAGCTTAGCAAGGGTGACTTGACACGCATGCTCAAGGTATAGCTATGCATGCAGCTGCACGGGTGATCTTAGGTGGCTATTCAGCACCAAGAGGCTGCCCTGAGATCTTGCCAGAGGAAGTTCATACAAGTGAGGCATAAAATGGTTTTTGCGTCAGTGGAAGACTGTACGCACTGGATCTGGTTGCAACTGAGGTGCAGGGCGTTTGGCTTGTGGACAAAGGGGTCCTTAGAAGCTGCAGCTGCAAGAGTCTTATAGGTCTTACTGAATTGTCCCTCTGCAGTCTTCAGGGAAAACCCAAAGTATATATTAGCAACCTCTTTAGCGTTGGGACAAACCCTTTTGGGATCAATCCCTCCTGCATCCACAGGCTTCTTTTTGTGCTCAGCTGTAATTTTGTTTGTCCTGAAGATGTGATCATGCTAAGTTCTCCCCTTCGGCTTTTCATGAGGCATTCAGCTCCTTTTCACTCACTCTAGACAGTCTGCCAGAGGTCTCGCTTCAGGGTCTCGCTTCAGCACGATAATTTTGTATGGTTCTCCGAGGATAGTGCGCTGGTCTAATTAGGAGGAGACATTTCTGACACTATTTTATCCTCCACAGCATATCATATATAACCGTGAAAATTAAACATGGGGGAAGTGTCATGGCTGCTCAGCGAAGTAATAAACCTCAGGATTACGCAGCGGCGTCACTGTTTGCTGGCAAGGGCTGAGCTGAAGGCCAAGTAATTTTATACGCCAGTAGGCAGGGCAGAGGTTGGCAATAATGTCTACTGTATTCCTCTCTGATTAAACTGGGGGGTGGGGGGAGAGAGAAATAATTTGGTCACTTCTGCTAGAATGCAATGTCAGCAGGGGAAATGTGGCACATTGGGAGCCAGCGATCGGAGTTAGACATTGGGCTTGAAAGAAAGGCTTTTGCAGACCCGGAGAACGAGTGAGTCCTGCTGTCAAGGCTGCCAAGAGACACAGATAGAAAGGAGATGGGCTAACCTTTTTGCCAAGAGAGCAAAAGCAAGGAGCAGAGCGGGGGGAAACATCGGAGACAGAGAACGTTTTGTCTCGACTGGCAACTTGATGGCCCATCAAGCGGCAGCCGATGCCTCTCACGTCACTTGCTGTCTTTCAGTCATGCATGCAGAATTGCTCATGACAAAAGCCATCACAGTGAGAGACACGTGCCTTCAGCTTCTTGGGGAATACAAACTAACCTGCTCTAGCTACTTCCTTACACGCAGAGGGAGGGAGGCAAGAGAGGCATGGTAGTCCCCTTTCTTTGCACATTCCCAAGCACGGATGTGAATAAATGGGGCAGCCCAGAATTCTTTGCTGAGCCATGCAGGGCTTGGCTCACCATGAGGCACACGAGGTGGCGACAGACCAGGAAGCGGGGATGTATAACAGGGCAGTGTGGAAGGCTAGAACTGCGGGTGCCACAGGGCCTTCCCTGCACCCCTCAAGCTTGGAATAACCTCCTCAGGTGTAGTGAAAGTCCCCTTCCCATCACCCCTGCTGGAGAAAAAAAGATTGTGTTCCAACCCAACCAACTTCCGTCTGAGAACCAGAAAGGGGCCAATTTGGCTTTTGCCTCAGCTGGTCCGCTGCTAAACATGCTAGTAATTGTGTGTCTCTGCAGCCAACCATCCGACCATCCATGGATGGATGTATCATGCTGGGAAATCAATTTCATTTGAGCTGGATGGATTTTCGCAGTGTTTCTGATTGGCAACTGCACCGTTTCCAGAGTTTTCAGGTTCAAAAAAGAGTTCCACACAGTGAGAACTAAGATCTGCATATTTGTACTAGCGTCACTGCACAAATGAGCAGGAGGAAGTGGGATATGGAGGAACTGGAGAAGCGGCACTTGCCCAGGGTTTGGAACAAGTTTTGGAAATTCGATGAAGAAGCAAGAAGGAAGTTTCATTTTTGAAATAAGATGGAGTCCTTTAGAGCTTCCAAATTTGGGGAGAAATTTGGATAGGGAGAACATTAACTTACTCCTGTGGGTTTCTAGACTGCTGAGTCACATATGAGGAGAACTCTGGCAGAAATGTTGCTGCAGGGATAGGAAAAGGAGAAAATGGATGACATAATAGACGAGGGGGAGGGGATTCTTGGGCTGAGGTCTCTTTTGCAGACCAGATGGGAAACCTTCAGGGAGGACAGATTTATCTTTCTCTTGCTTATTTCCAGCCTAGGTATATGCCTAATTCATGAGACAGATTGCTGATTCATGCTCCCAAAGTCATATTCTTTGAAAGCTTATTGTACTTTGAATTCAGAGATTTTTTTGTAATGACTCTGATGTATTGATACCAATGTTCAGAAAAATAATACCTGAATGCAAAGTTCATGTCTTTTATGAATCATGCAACAAAAATAGTCAAAGTTTCTGAAAGTTTCAGCCTCTCCTGAGAATTTGAATGTCTAAGATCGCTGCTGATGAACAAGTGCATCATTTCAAATTGCACCAGGACAGAATGCATTGCTGTTGGTAAAATGGATTGAAAGGAAAGCACAGGTGCCATTTGATGCCAAAGAGTAACTGAATGCTGGGCTTTCCTTCTCATGCAATACCTGCACTCCACTTTTTGCCATGCGGAATTTGTGCACATCCTCCAGTCAGCTGAGTTGTCCGTGCTATGCCAGATGTGAGCATGGAAAACCCAGAAAATCCCAGGGATTCAACCACAGCCCCAGAGGGTTGTTGCAAAACCTCTTAGAGTAAAAAAATTGCCCCACCCATCAAGTTCCGGGCCATTCTTTATGGAAAAATGTGGAAATCTTTAAGAGATATAAATTACACAAAGACTAGCAGGCTTGCACATGTTTGCTTGTCCTGTGTATTGCATAGTGGGGAGGGGAGAAAGCTGCTACTGGGGAACACGCTATTGAGCCCTTTAAGCCTGGTTTCACATTTCACCCAATATTGTCCATGGAATTGCTTTATTGGGAGGGAGGGAGGGAGGCGAGAAGGAAGGACAATTCTCAGGCCTTGGAGCCCTGCCATGGAGCTGATCCTCCCTGTTTAAACTACCAAAGTATCTAATACCAACTGCATCCATATGGATATAATGAAGATGACGTTTCCCTACAGATCTTGCAGCTCCTATGAAGTGTGTAATGTTGGCACTGTTAATGAGACCACCTATTTTGCCTTGTGGCAAATCCGTCAGTGCCCATTAGATGATGAGATGCACAGACTGCTCAATCAGTGGGAAACCGCAGGCTGCATTTTTAAATGTCTCTGTGCACAGAAAGACACGTGAGCCTCCCAGAGAACGATAACCCAGCCACACATTTCTGCATGCGATGAAAAGCTGAAATTGGGTCTGAAGTCATGTAGGCCAGTACACCCCAATTAGTAGACTGCTCTGAAAAGAGGACATTTTATCCTCTTGCACTTGAATTCCAGACATCGTGTCTGCCTCGTAACTGTGGCTGGAGCCTAGCAGAGCACAGGACATGGCACAAGCAGAGCAGGCAATTTGGTTGTGCGAATTGCTCTTCACTGCAGCTGACAGCAAAATTTTGCCAAGTGTGAAATCCAAAGCCAGTCTGGGGGGTTTGTCCTTAAGCAAAACATGTGAGGAATTTTTAGGAGAGGGAACAGAGTTCAAGCAAGACGGGTCATGTAGCAGTTGGGTGGACATTGCAGCAACTTTGACTGTCACCAGGTTGTGGCTAAAGGATGGTTTGAAACCAATTTGAGAGATATTTCATCGGTTGAAGTATTTGTCTTATTTTGAGGGAAGTCAAGAGAAAGAGTTTGAAACAACTTGATGGGCATTTTTTCTTCATGCACATCAAACTGCCTCAAAGTGGAGAAGGGGAATCTGCAAGGATTGGTCATGAATGCAAGGCCAACAGTGGGAACTAGCCAGATTCATGTGCATACTTTCCCGTTAAGCATCACTGAACTATAAGAATCGTGCATGGAAATTTCACAGCAGCAAGAAATCAAAGTGTATTTTTAAAATGCAGGCTGCCTTTACTAAAGGACTGACTCACACACATACCCAGACTTAAAACAAACCCTCCTTTGGAGACATGAACTGGGACACCCTCCCATTCCCAATGCAATAATATGATTGATATTACCGTTTTCATCCAGAGAAAAGTCATCCTGTGCATAGCGGAATTTTTCTGGACCACAGGCAATGAATACATCATCGTCCCCGAAGAAATCATGGAGACAGGTCACCTACCAAAAGAACAAAGTCATCCCTTTTAGCTTTAATGGACAGCCCTTGCATTCAACTTGGGTTTCATTTCCATACAGGGCAGCTTCCTCTCCACCCTTTTCTCCAAATTGTGCTATGCTTTTAGCAAAATGGATCAGAACATCTGCCTTGCAAAATACTACAATATGTGACCTTTCCAGTTTGTTCATTCGTTCGTTCATCTGGCTGTTCATTCGTTCTTTCTTTCTCAGCTTTGTAATGGATAAACTTAGCAAAGTGAAAGATCTTGCAGCTGCTTCTTCCTCTCCAGCCTGGAGAGGTGTGCTCAGGAGCCAGGACTGGGACAACACCATGGTTCACAACACAATTGTGCAAGAATTTCCCACGTCATTTTTTGTTAACCAGCCAAATGACCAGAACCAAAATCTCCGCACTTCTGTAAGCTGAAGTCATGTAAGTCTCCTATGAGTCAGAAGACACTTGTCAAGTCATGTGTTGTTCATGTAGAACAGATCCCCAAAACCTGATGCCTTTCTAATTCCCAAATTTCAAGGGGAAGCAAGATGGAATCCCATGCATGTCCAAGCCCCACTTCCTTCTCTCAAGGATGTTGATGATGATGAAAGAACGGAGAATGTAGGCAGCACAAGCCATAAGCAAGAAGTCAGAAATGCTCCCATGTGCTCCTCTGTATGACAGCTTAATTGTAGCTTATCATGAAATATCCGATGCAATTATTCAAGAAGAACAAGATAACTCAGTCCCTGAAGGATCTACTGGAAATAGTGATAATTGCACAGTGCTTTCTCTCACCTACTCTTTGGAGAGCTCAAACTTAAGTTGAGCCACAACTCAACAAACAGGAAACTTTTTTCTGAATATAAAATATGTTCACAGATTTCCTTGCTTCTTGAATATGCATTTGATCGTTAAGTAGATATAAATGCTTGGCGGTCAGATGCACATGTACATTTAATCATCATTAAGTGGCTCTTGTGAATAATGCCTTATGGCTGAGAGATTTATTTCAGTTAATTTTTAATTAGGTTTTATCCAGTTCACACCGACTTGAATGCAACTTTCAGTTCAAATCAATATATTTTCAAGTTTTCAAGTTCGCAATATGGTTTGCAGAGCAACAACAAAATGCATCTGGCAGCATGTGCATACTTTAATATACATTAAAATATTTACATCTCTACGTGCTTTGAGCAGCAGAGGAAAAGTAGTAAGGGGGAAATAGATCTATTCCCAAGAACAACCGTTGTGCCCACTATTGTCCAATATCATTTTTATTAGGACCATCTAACAGCTTGCAAAATAGTCAACAAGTCTGTATCATTATGCTTACATTCTGATATCTGTGCATAGTTTAATATAGTAAAATCTCTCAATGTGGCTTAAAGAAAAAATAGACAAAATCTTCAATAATAGTAGTACTATTAATAACAATGGCTAGAGGGAGCAAAAGCGGGTTTGTAGGGCAAGGTGGAGAATTCCCAGGATGGGTCTAATTTCATAAATGAAACAAGTGCAACTACAAATTAAAACAGCTTTTCCTTTCTGTTGTGGCTGATGAGATTCTATGTATGGGATGGAATTATGTCATGTGTGCTCAGGAAGGGGCACATATTGCATGTTTGTTTATCTCGCCTCCAAATAATGGCTGGGCCCAGTGAACAGGGGCGGCCCACCCGGCATGGAACGTTCGTGGAAACCTGGTGGGAGTCACCTGGATTAGTTCCATTACTAAGTGGTTTAACCACGGCCCATGACAATTCTCAATTAAGCCTAATAAATACTTTACTTCTAAGTATGCCTAGCATAGTTGAAAAGATTGGTTGCTGCTTATGTTTATTCTAATCAGTTGTTCTAATTACATTCCATAATTAGTCCAAAGAAAGAGAGAACTCCCGGGAGAAAGTGCATGTCAATGGAAATATATCCATCCGGATATCTGGCATATCATTAGTTGGTCTAAAGGCTTCCTTGTCTTCCTAGCAATAAATGCTTTAAGGAAAGACACAGGAAATGCGACAAGAGAATCAGTGAGGATGATATTACCAGGATGTGGCCACTAAAGCCACTACTGTGGTACTGACTCGACAATGGAGAGAAACGGCAAGACAAGATCTCCCTGTTGCTTTTTTCTTCCATAGAATGGCTTCATAATGACCCTCTGGAACTGATGTCCTGAGCTCTGAGATCTGAAGCCAGGTCATTCCCCTCCCTTCAAACTCATATAATGCACCTTCACCTTCAGTGACCTCATTGCACACGTGGCTTGAGTTGGTTTCTTGATGTCATGAGCAAAAAGGACTTTTTAAAAGAAAGAGAGGCTTCGAAGTTGCAGCTGACTGGGACAGCTGCAAAATGGGATGTGATAGAGGCAAACATAGAAACATAGAAACAGAGTGAGTCAGAAGGGGCCTCCCGGGCATCTAGTCTGACCTCCAGCACCAGCCGACTCCGCTCACGACATGCCCACCATGTGCACGTCCAGCCTATCCTTGAACACCCGCACCGATGGGGCCTCAACCACCTCCCATGGAAGCCCATTCCACACCCTTGGGGTCCTGACTGTCAGGAAGTGCTTCCTGGCATCCAAATGGAACCTGGGTTCCCTGAGCTTTGCTCCGTTGGAGCGCATTCTGCCTTCCTCTGCAGGGGAGAACAGGTCTCTACCCATCTCCATGTGACGTCCCCTCACATACCTGTATGTCGCCAACATATTCCCTCTGAGTCTCCTCTTCTCCAGGCTGAAGAGACCCAGTTCCCTCAGTCTCGCTTCATATGACATCCCCTGCAAACCGGCCACCAAGCTTGTGGCCCTACGCTGCACTGACTCCAACCTGGCTATATCCTTTCTGTAATGAGGGGCCCAAAACTGAACACAAACGTCTTGAACATTTTGAGGAACTGTTTTGGACATTCCTTTCTAAAGTATTTCATCCCCCACACCCCCAAAAAAGTTGCTGAGACCTTTTAGTTTAGCCCTATGACAAGAACAAATAAGTGCTGCTCTATTTAAAGGTTATCTATAAGCTCACTCACCCCCCGCAACTGCGTGTTAGTTTGAAATAAAGTAGAATGAAGCTTGGCCACTAGCCAAGTTGCCCAGTATAACCATTCAAAGGGAATTGAACATGTCTGGTGAACTTTTGGTGCCTTCAAAACATGAGAAATCCAATTAGTCCCAAGCTGAGATGCTATTTTCCTCCATATAAACAATGCATTCGTAGCCAATGGTGTCAGCGGTTGGATTATCGACTTGTGTTGCAGGAAAGTTTCATTGGACTACTGTCAACATTTCTGCCAATGTGTCGGTCAAAACATTTGCTGCAAATGCACTGGAGCATCCATGCTAAAATAGCTGTAGATTCCTATTTTTTCAGCAGCAGTTGAGTCCTGATAGCTCCTCTGTCCTGTCCTGTGTAGGTAAAATGCAGATATATATGTCTGGAATACCTCAGTTTATCTTCTCTCCCATCCTTTCATTATTTGCAAGGAACTGCTAAAATGGCCTTGGGTGGAGAGCGCATTGCTAGCAAATAAATGCTCGCTCACTCTTACCTCCCTCCCTGCAGAAACCGGTACATTGCTGGTGGAAACAGTGGAGGAAGTTGCGGTATTAAAGTTCAGTTGGAAGGGTAGCTTCTCCTTGTCCTTTAGAACAGTGGGCTGATAGGGCTTCAAACCAGAGAGGCAAAGCAAACAGTTGTCCTCTCCTTTCCTTCATGAAATAGAATTCTGACCTCATCCAGAGTCAGAATGCTTTGACCAGGGTTCCCTATCTCTCCTACAAGCGTGGAGACTTTTGAGAGGCCATTGGTGACAAATTTGCATTTTGGTTTATCATTAAGACCACTGCAACCTTGAAACCAAGCTTTGGATGGGGGTCTGGCATTTCAGCAATCCCATTCGGTTATTCTTGTTCAAACTGGTGGGTTTCCCCAGCTCCACCACCATCCGTCCCTACTCTCTAGCATGTCACTGCAGAAACAGTCAGTGCAGAGTGCATCTCCTAATATATCCCAAATTTGGAGAGCACTTTTGCTTGCTCCTTGCAATATTCTAGGCACAGTAATGAAGAAAAGAGATGCAGGGCTTTGAGGCCCTCTGTCCACCTGCAGAGATGAGGTAAGGGCAAAATGTGGCCATGAATGAAATAAGCACTTCCTTTTATCTGCAGTTTTGGGTATCTCTGCAAAAGCAGACAGAAAAATGGGTAGGGAGCAGGAGGGGATTTCGTGGCCTCTGACAGCTCTGGAAGAACATTTTGCTCAGCATGGATGTCTCATTAATTTCTACAGTTGGAATGCATGGTAACCTCTTCTGCAGATCTTGGGGGCTCCCTGCCAGAGTAAATGCTGGGGGAAATCAATGTCAGGCTCGGTGTGATTGTTGTTATTATGGCATCAGGACCACAGCCGATCTTGCTTCTGTTGGTGTCCGTGTCTGCCTGCTTACGCACGTTATTATTGACTTTGCCCTCCTGTGGTCAAGCTTTGGACAACGCGCTTAACTATTTCGATTTCCAAATTAGAGGTTACAGGTATCCTTCTCCAACCTGGTGACCCGCAATGTGTTGGACTACAACTCCCATCACTGGAACACAACTCCCATAATTCCACTCTCCCCCCACTTTCCCCTCTCCCCACGCAGTGTTTAGTTAGCAGTACCCAATGGCCACTGACAAGCGCGGTCCCCCAGGGCTCTGTCCTGGGGCCAATCCTGTTTAATCTTTTCATTAACCACATGGAAGAAGGGGTGAACAGTCCGCTGATCAAATTCGCACTAAAAGACGACTCTAAAACTGGAGCAGTGGCCACAACTGAGGAGCAGGTACTCCAGATCCAAAAGGATCTGGACAGACTATGGAAGTGGGCAGGAGGCAACAGGATGGCGTTCAATGTGGATAAGTGCAAGGTCTTGCACTTGGGGCACAGGAATGGGTGTCATAAGTACAGGTTAGGTGACAAGTGGCTGGAGAGCAGCACTTGTGAAAGGGAACTCGGGG